CATCTTTTATACATATCCCAACGGAGCATGTTTCTGATGATTTTTACACCGACGCTATCTTTCAACTCACATTCTTATCTTTTCATTCCAAATGCCGTCTGCGAGCGTTACTCTGCAAATTCTACGTAATGAACTGCGTTCAATCATGTTCTTTCTGACATACTCTTACTGCCATAGTTAAACGTTGGGATCAGCACTGCATTGTTTATAGCGAACTGCAATTTTAGTTTAAGGTCTCTACCCTATAAAAATGACTTAATTACAACAAAAAGTAGAATGGGAACAAATTGATAATTTTGTGATTTTTTTTATCGAGAAAGATTTACAAAGCATTACCATTTTAGTTAAATAAATGAAAATATAGACATGTAATGACGTTTTCTTATTTTTGGACGTTATTGTTTTTGTGCAAAACTAGTTAAAAAGTTGGTAATTTTGGGTGTACATACACTCTTAACTGACTCGAAGAATAAACTAACAAATTCAGCTGTAGTCTATATAAAATTAAAAATAGAAAACTTACTTCTAATTCGTATCTGTATTAATAATATAAAAGAGAAAAAAACTTTCATTATCATCGTCGGCCCTTTTACGTTATGTCCCCACTGTAGGGGCTCAGGCCTTCCTCAATGATGGTTAAGGAGGATGGCCCAATGCGGATTGGAAGGTATTAACGGAGGTATTAAAGCAAATGCAGCTGGAACTAACGACTTTGCGTGCCTTGCGAACACGGAGTAATCGAGATAATACTTTTCTGTTCACCCATCCTGTGACCAGCCCTTGCGAAAGTTGCTTAACAACAACGATCGCAGGTTACGGCGCTTATCCCACTACACCATGGAAATAAGCAATATAAAACATATGAAAAGAACTTTACATATAGTTTATAGTGAATGAGCTCCGAAACTATTAGACTGATTAAAAAAATCTTTTACTTAAAGGAAGCTGTTTCTTAAACGGGTGACATAAGCTATAATTTAAGCGAGCGAAGTCGTTGAAACAGAGTTAGTATCTAATAAATTTTGCATTTACAACCCTATATTTTCACACTAATGCTACAAGTTGCTCTCAATGTTTTTTGTGGGTATTTAATGGATTAATCTTTTCAACCTTGTTATTACGCTAAAAAAATACATTATAGCTCTTAACTTTACAAAAATAATGATTAATTCTTTATTTTAATAAATTATTACCAGAAACATACAGTTTGTTTGCGTACCTAATTTACCATTCCAGTACACACAACTTTAATAATAACATCATGTCCATAAAAAGCTAATAAAATTGGAGCTCCTCATAAATCATATAATTTAGGTCACACGACAATAGACTAGACAAATTATGAAAATTGAAAAGTTCTAAAACTAATTGGCAGTATGACGTGAAGGTATAAAATGAGGGTTCATAATAATCTATACTAATATAATGAAGCGGAAAGATTTGATTATTTCACAGGCCTTGATCTGGGGCAGAAACATTTAGCGCCCTTTCACCCCCACCACTAGACGCACATATTTTTTTTTAGCTTATCATAATTATGGCGCCCCCCTGACACTGGCGCCTGGGGCACGTGCCACCACTTGCCCACCCTAGATTCGGGTCTGGATTATTTGTTCGCATATTTATTTGCATTAAATAGGCTTCAAAACTACTGGGACGATTTCACTAAGCGATTTTAATAATTCTTACATTTACGCGAAGCTGCATCATACCTTGGTAACATAGGCTATAATTTTCTGTTCTGACTTTCATTGGTTGTTCATTTTTTAATCACCAATGAGACGAGCGCGCAGACGTCACACGCACTCTACGTGCTAACCAAATAATGCCTACCAAAGCATTTATTAAAATATCAGTAGAGTACTTAGTGTGGAGAAAATGATCCGGCAAATAGGGTGCTACAAAATGTGTCAAAGTCCTTACAAATATTAAATCGCTTTCGATACGATTCATATTTGGTTTACGCTATGTTTCTGAATTCCGCAGGCAAGTTCTCGCTTCTATACTCTATACTATACAATGCCATGATACCTGCATATCTCAAATCACGCTTTAAATTTACCTCATCCACGCATGATCTCTCTCTTCGCTCTTCTAATAACTATCGATTATTCTATAGTCAATCTTTTACAGTAAAGCAATAAAATTGTATAACTACCTAATCTATCAAAAGGGCGAAATCTCTGACCTCCTTCAAATCACAATTGAAATCCCATAACCCGTCAAAAGCCTGCTTTTCTATATTCTTTTCTCACTTCCCGCGCTCTAGTTGTCACTTGTCCTTTGATGATGTACTATATGCACAATCTGCTATTCAATGTTTTGTTTTTCCATCCTATGCTAGGTTTCCTGGAAGAAATCGCTTGTTAGCGATAAGGACGCATCTTTTACGTTATTATGTAACGTTAATATTTATATTTGTATATGTAATTTTACTTTTTCGTGCCATAAAGAGTATTTATTTCCCTTGACACTCGATGATTGATCAATTGTCCTGTGACCCACATGAAAAACGATGTCTATATCCCCTTCTTTATGTCTTTATGTGTAGTGGACGTGTATTACGTAGTTAAAGTCTATGTCTGATGTCTAAAGAGGACTGTGTGTTTAGTAACTATTAGGTGATGGATGTAGGTTGTGTGTATGTGATGGATGACTCTCGTGTGTTTGTTGCATTATTGATGAATGTAGTCTTGCCTAGTTCTTTTACTTAGTATGGTGGTAGTGTGGATGACTACCTGTTTCTGTAGTGTTGTTATATTTATTTCTGCATATTTCTTTTTATAGCTTTTCTAACTACGCCTGTGGCTCCTTCTTTTATTAAGATCACTGTGGTTCGAGTATTCCAAAGACGACCGATTTCAGTTTTTAAAAGGTGTTTTTTGCCTAGTCTTTCCATTTCTTTGGTTCCTACTTATATCCATATGAAATTATATCCGGTCTGTTTTGCATGACTGTTATATCAGTTTGAATAGGTATTTTCCATATGATTTTAGTAGTTTCAGTTTCTTTGAGGATATGCGATTTAAAAACCATCGAAGAATCATTTTCATTGTATAACAAAGTTTCATAATTTGACACGATGGATAAACGATTCGGACGTCTCCTTACTACTTTTAATTATCCTATTATGTCCTGTTACCACTTGAAAATTAAGTCGTATATTGGCACATATATGACACACGAGTTAATTGCAACTCGCGTTCCTTTCAAGGGAGGATAGGTAATTTTTTTTAACTGTCACCCTCAAAACGTTTCCCCCAATGATACTAGAAAGAGAAAGACAATAAAAAGTAAACGATCCTGAGTAATTTCGTCGAGTGAGCGTCCCGAAATTGTTTGTACGTGAATTGTTTCAATAACTAGAAACATTAGCCTAAGAATCACTTATTGAAAAACATTGTAGTTATATAGGTAGGTACCTATATTTTCAGAGGAACTTCGCAAGAGCTACAATTTCTGAATGCAATATCAGTTTGCAAGAAGTTCAATAATAAGATTTAAATGATTTATTTCTAAATCATCAGACTCTTTGGATTAATGAGTGACATAAAAAAATATGTGTCACATAAATTTCGATTTTTGGTGATTATAAATATATTACATTCATATTATTTTTCATATATATATTCATTTATGTGCCATGCTTGTCATTGAAATAAACTTTAAATGGACATACAATATTTTACATGAATTTTCTACAAAAACGATATATTACTATAATTAAATATAAACAACCTGTTAATATTTTGACTCATATCTACTTATTTAACTTTTTGTTTTCTTTTTTTCAGGTGTTTAAACAAAATGGCGCACTCTTGATTGCTTTAAATTCCTTTAGTTATTCAAAATATCCATTTTAGATTAATTATTCTAGGTATCTAATATTTAATAGCTAGCGTGTAATTTCTATTATAAGTAGGGTTATCCTTAAATTAAATAGAAAAACAATAACTGGAAGCTCGTTTGAAGGTTATTTATCATTGTTTTATTCACGACATTGTAGACAATGTACAAAAAGTCATTTTTCAGTTAGTTCCTTAGTCATTATTGTCTAAGCCTGACTTGGTAGATAATGGAACTTAGAGCTTAAGCTCAAGTCATAAAGTAAAAGCAAGCAACCGGCTTCTTTATACATACTTCTATTTTCTCCGGGGATAGTATTGTAAAATCCATTCTGATGCGGTGGTTCTTGTAAATAGTCCAGCATTATAATATATAAGAGCTTCGTGTTTTATTTAAGCGTCTTGGGTATTATAGACATCACCATCTTTACTCATATCTATGGCGGATTAAACGTATTTATAATATACTGATTTTCGTCAGCGGTTTCGCATGAAATGTATAATAAAATAAAAAGTCTTATTACCTAAGTTACCTAATACCCTATCTGTACACCAAATTTCATCACATCCGTTTAGTAGGTTCTGTGCGATTGACGGACAAACGTCCAAACAAAGAAACTTTCACATTTATAATATATATAGGATTTAACTGAGATTTTAAAATTTCAGAATGAAGAGTTGAGAATAAAATTTGACTAGATAGATAGTGTTGGTGTAAAAATCAACAGAAACGTACTCCGTTGGTCCGGACATGTAGAAAGAATGATAAGACTGATAGACAGCGCGAAAGTAAAAGGATGCAGAAGCCGAGGAAGGCCACGACACACCTTTCACGAAACAACGCGTGCTCTTACAAGGTGATGTCAGAAGCCATAAAAACTGGCGAGTCTGTATGAAAAGAGTGATGAAGGTGGATCAGGCGAGAGATGTAAGTAAGGACCGTACATTGTGGTGTTCGATCCTCTCTGCCTACCCGCGAGGAATTTAGCACGGAGATATAGACATAGATTTTTTAATCTATACCTATATAAATTTCCTTCATATTCAATAAATAAAACTAGTTTCTATTACATAAAAGTTGTTTATTCCAGACCAATAGAACATGAAGCCTGAAGACGTTAATAGTTTTTTTTAAATAAAATAGTAAGTACTTACCGCTAATCCTCTTTTTCTCGGTACTGAGTGGCTGTAGCTATGTGTGACTACTTGAACAGATGGAAAAGCACCATCGGCATTAGACAATATTGAAGGTCCCCTCGATCTCTGCGGTGGTGGTTGCCTTATGGTCCCTTCGTATACCCCCATGATGTCACACTAACTCTGGAATGAGAAAATTAGTTATTAATATTTGAAGATAAGGCACATTTCATTGGAATGGTGAAGTTTAAATTGATATTAAATAAAAGTGTTCCTAACATATTTCATTTACCGAAAAAAAAATTATAACTTTAAATAAATAAAATAATCATGGAGGGAAAGCTCGGTGGCGTAGTGGATAAGCGCCGCGGCCCGCGATCGTAGTCGTTAAGCAACTTTCGCAAGGGTCGGTCACGGGATGGGTGACCAAAAAATTATTATCTCGAGCTACTCCGTGCTTCGGAAGGCACGTTAAGCCGTTGGTCCCGGCTGCATTTGCAGTCGTTAATACCCTCCAATCCGCATTGGGCCAGCGTGGAGGGTCATGGCCCATGCTCCTTAACCATCCATAAGGAAGGCCTGAGCCCCTGCAGTGGGGACGTAAAAGGGCTGGTGGTGGAGGGAAAGCTTGAGCCAAGTGATGCGGACAAATTCCTTACAAAGGAACTCCCTGACAGAGGAGTTGAGAGATCTTTCGGCAAGACGCATGATTCCACAATGGATACGTGGATCTTTATTGAGGACAAGTGCGGGTTCTTCGGGAACACTGGCGGCCTGGTGAACAGGCTGAAGGAAAAGATAAACTCCCTGGAGAGGGAAAGGGATAATCTTCTAGACGAAAACAGCCTGCTTAAATTGCCGGTTGATAAGAGAAATATAGGGACTCAGTTCTCTGCAAAGGGACCGGTAATAGAGAAAAGGAGTATTGGGTGTCAATCTAATCTGTCAGTCGGTGAGGGGACGGGCTGTTTTGACTCCATGGATGTTCGTGAGGTTTCTGAACCTATTTCGAGGGTAACAGCTAACTCCAGCTGTCAAACAGAGGGTTCTGTAACCCCGAGAAAAAAAAAGGACTGCCTCTGCTTATGTTGGCATGACACCCAGGAGTGCCACATCAACACTGGTATTCTGGCAGAGCCTGAGCCTGAATATGTTTAAAAAGATATAAAAATATGCAAATAATTTGTTTTTAAAGTAAGAAGATCTTAAAATAGTTTTATTACAATACTAAGAATTTTGTTGCTATGATAATAAATTATTCGAATTGTTTCCAAATAAAAAAAAAGTTTTATGCTTTACGTTGTAAATAAATATTTTATAAGACATCAAAAACAACTTAAAGCTATTATTTTCGTAACTATACAACTGTATTGTTTCGTTTGCAAAAACACGCAGTGGAAGTATTAAAATTGAAGGCGTGCCCCATTAAAATGATGAGCGATTGCTGATATGTCCTGCCTTATGCCCTATCAAATTATCTAAATTGATTACCAGTACTGTATCATTGTCACGACTTAGAAATATCGCCATTTTAACTTACATCGTATTTAGATTCATACTCAGAAATACGCGCCACAGTCACCATGAGCATTTGAACATTATTTATTTCATAAATTTAAAAAAAAAAAACAGAATAGCCAGCTAAAGCCGCACAATTTTAGAACGAGGTGCCTCAACACCTCTTTGAATTTGTCGCGAAAATCAGTTCTGTTCAGTATGGTAATTATGCTAATGTTAGCTTAATTATGAAAAGTCAGTAGTTGCGCTTCAACCACTACCCTTTATGACACAGTTCTTGTTCGCTAAAAAATAGAAAAAATGAGGTCCTGTTAGTTTGGTTAGTTTAAGAAATTGACTCTGACATTCATTAATGGAACAAGCACATTCAGCGATTGCTTGAAGTCCAATTAATGCTAGCGCCATTATTTCAGCACTTGTGCGAGTTTAGCCTCACACTGGGTGTTAAGTGATCTTTAATACGACTTCGACATTAAATAATATGGTCAATATGTTTCCTTTTCCATCAAGATTCTTTTTGACTGTCAATAGATAACGTTATTGATAATATTTGATATTTTTTTATGTGAAGGGAATTCAATTCATACTGTTATGTTTTGCACTTATAACGCAATATTATTTAAGTGCTTCACTATGAATTAAGTGTTTTTTAGTTTTTGTAATATATAATGTTTTAAGCATTAACCAGGTACATAAGTAGTTTATAATACTAACAGGGACATGACGCCTCACAGGCTACTTTGAAAGTCATTTTCTGTAACGAAAATTAACCTAAATGTTTGGTATTGCGTTGGTATTTAATAATTGGCTTATAATAAAAGACATATTTATTAATGGATAAATAAAAATAAAAACAAAATTATTATTTAGATACACTTTTCAGCCTTAATTGACATGAGAAAATGAAAAAAAAAAAAAAAAATGAGAGTATTGTTTCTTAATTATTATATATGAAATTTGACAAATATAACTCTTTATAATAAAAATCTACTTATTAAACAAAGCATAGAATGAGGTCATAGAATGAGCCGCCCCAACAATACTATCTCGAATTTCTCAAATATTTTAGTATCTTGGAACATCGGACCCGGCCATATTTGAAGTTAAATCTGTACTAGGTCCACGTATTATAACCTTTCTCCTTATTTTGATCCATCTAGAATAAAACTCTACCGGTATTCTGTTTAAGTGGGTGACGAATGTTCCATCATAAAGTAATCATTTTATAATAAAGTGAAGTGCTTTTTGCGTTTGTTTGTTTATAGGGGTAATCTGTCACCTAAGCTACATCCATATGCTATAATTTATGTGAGCGAAATCGTGGAAAAAAACAGCTTGTCTTAGCTAAAAATGAGATGCTTAAAAAATCCTTACAATATTTTATTTAAAACGAAAACAAATGGTTTCGAAAAATAAAATATACCAACTATCTCTAATATGGATACTAAATCCATTTTTAGCATATTAGGGTAAACAGACAGTCATTGAGCAATTAAGCGCATAAATTAGTTTGAAGATTTTTTTTTCCGTTGACTATTACTGTATCTAAGAAACTGTAGAGATATTTTGAAACTAGATAAAATAAGCTATTATAAGAAACATTTAAAAATCTTACTTCTTGTGAACAGTTGAAAAATATTATTATATTGAAAAAAATTGAACAAAAAACACAGTTATTGAACAAAAATTATAATGATTGGACAGTCGGAAACAATTATTGGACAGTCGATAAATATAGCTAAACACGTAATAAAACACCATAAGAACATTTTGTTTATTATTATTAGTACAAAAATTGCTTTTCTAAATTATAAAATGTCATAAACACCTCTGAAAACTAGATAGGTAATATGCAAATTATTCATTACTAAACTCTAATCCGTCTTAAAGTTGGAGATCATAAAAATTTAAAGAAATAAAATCTGAAAAACAAAGTCTATGAAAACCTTTAGAAGAGTAACAACTTAAAACTATTATTTTGAACTTTTTGGTCACAAAAGAAATTAAAAATGGGTAGAAAAATTGCTGAAAACACATTACAATTTCAGAATTTATCTTTTGATACATATCGAAACGCAATATTTTCCTCTAAGTCTTCGACGGTATTATAAGCTTCATCGTTAGAATTTTCTTCCAAGCTTATCTCATCCTCATCATCATTATTGTTCAATAAGTGACAATTATTGGACGCAATAAGTGACAATTAGTGGACGCAATAAGTGACAATTATTGGACAGCGTGTTTTTTGTTCATAGTATTGGACAGCGTCCAATAATTGACAGAATAGTCCGTGATACTTGAAATTCAAAGTAGTGTCATAAGAAATTTAAATGCTTAAAATTAACGCAAAAAACACCGTAGAAACTCATAGCTCTGAAAAAAGATAGTTATTGGAGACTGTCCAATAATAGATAGTTTTTTATTAAATTGTATCATACAAGAAAATTACCTCAAAATATAACATTTATGAGTTAAAAGTCCCTTTAACATTTAATTTGCATGATAATAATAATAAGTGACAATTAGTGGACGCAATAAGTGACAATTATTGGACAGCGTGTTTTTTGTTCATAGTATTGGACAGCGTCCAATAATTGACAGAATAGTCCGTGATACTTGAAATTCAAAGTAGTGTCATAAGAAATTTAAATGCTTAAAATTAACGCAAAAAACACCGTAGAAACTCATAGCTCTGAAAAAAGATAGTTATTGGAGACTGTCCAATAATAGATAGTTTTTTATTAAATTGTATCATACAAGAAAATTACCTCAAAATATAACATTTATGAGTTAAAAGTCCCTTTAACATTTAATTTGCATGATATTTTACCAATCTTCAAACTACACATGTAATAACATTTACCACTATGCCAAAATCGGAATAAAACACCAGACTCAACCTTATAAAAAAATATATATTTTGCAAGACGATCGTCCGTTTCCGTGATAGCCGCCGGGAAATATATTTTTGTCACTTTGTTGTTGCTATGTTTTGTAAAACCTATGTATAACAATATTAAGTACTAATAGATTTTATCAACAGCTATATATGACACTTTTTGTTTGTTGTTATCTTATTTTTAGCAAATATAAAGCGACTGTCCAATAACTATTCAGTGTCCAATGACTGTCTATTTACTGTAATAATGATATCATTTAACAGATCATTAGATAAAATATATATATTTTTTATTTATTGTGCAATTGCATCTACTATTAACCCACAATAAAAAATATTGTGGTGAATTCACGTTCCTGCAGGTCTTCGGATTTATTACTTGTAGGAACTATGCCTCGTTTTAACCAAAAAATAACACTTTAGATGTTCATCTACGAAGACATTTTATTGAATTGAAAAACAATAACATGTGACATTGTCAATAAAATTTGAATATTATTATTTATTTATTATTAACTGAAATGAGGTTTGATTTATAACATCCTCCCCACCATGGCACTGGTTGACAACAACATGTGCCTTCTTACGCCATACACACATAGCACACTCATAATACAAAGTACAAAATAAAATTAAAAACTATACATACTAACAATATCCTAAACACAATACATACCTTATAAAATTTATTAATACTATGTTCAAAACTAAAATTTTAACTTATCTGGTATTCTGACGAGTCGGCCAGAAC